CTCCAGATTGATTTGTATTCACTCATCTGAGCTTCACTCTTTGAAAGGCAGCTTTTGCCTTTAAAACATAATACTGTATATACACAGACTATATATGTATGTGTATATATAAATGTATCCTTTTTATATATATACACAAGCGTATAAATTGATTATATGTATATATGTGTATATAACATAATAACATAAAAAAATCTTATGAGGTGTTAGGGAAGTAGGCTCAGGCCCTAAGGCCTGAGATTGAAAGGCTGAGTCTCATTTTTACGACTAGTGCAAAAAGTAAGTTCTGTTTCCTGCCTTCCTTATCCTTGCTCTTGCTGAGCTGCTGTAAGTGATTTTGAGGTCAGCCTTTAAACTGATTTTTTTTTTTTTTTCCTCTTAGCCATCATGGGTAACTGTAGTTACTCATTTTTAAACTAGCTTTCACAGTAGTGAAAGTGTGAATGAAAATATATTGGGAAGGAACTGCAACCTTTTGCCATGAATTGCAAGGTACTTGTCTACTAAAGATTGTCTATGTAAAAAAAAATCAAATTCTGATTTCAGCTTTGATTCTTCAATGGTTCTGAGTGATTTACATTATTTTTTTTCAATTTCTGATCTGTTCCAGTGACATTTGTGTAGTTGGTAGTCTTTCATATTGCTTATACCGGTTTTGCCTGTCCTGTTTGACTGCTGATATCTTAAAGATTCCCATGGAAATTAATGGTTAAGGATAGAAAAAGAATGGGGAACAAATTATGCTTCATGCTTCATTCCGTGGCACATTCTATAACTCCCTCAGTGACCAATTTCTAGACTGCTGTTGTATGTTTGTTTCAGTAGTTTGTTGTAATGTATTATTCTTTCTTTGGATAGTAATATCTTGAGTTATTCTTTGGGTAGAGGGGATGTCCCTTGTTCCATTCTAAGTTTGCTGTTCAGAGGCCATTGGTTAACTGCTCTTTTCCTTCCTGCTTACCAGAACCACCAGCAGGATCTTGCAAGTTTTGTGGATAGTTATGTGAGTTTTATCTTGGCAGTGGTGTTTCCTAAACCCTGTGATATCATTTGGAAATATGATGAGTATACCACTGTTTGATGCTCATATCCTCAGTTATATGGATATTTCAAGAATTTGTTCCCTTGTGTAATTAAACAAGCTAAGAGCATGTATGGCCTATGGGGAGAGAAGTGCTGGAGAGTGTCAGGCTTGATGGCTGCTTTCTTTAGAGCTTTACTGAGAGAAAGCCATTACCTGGCTTTCTTGCAGTCCTGCAGCATTTGTTACACTCTTGAGTCTCACAGACTTAACAAAACTGGGCAGTGAGCTGATTAGCTGTGTCTTTTGTCTGCTGGAGAAAGAGGTGAAGGGAACTGTGAGTTCATGATTTTCCATATGTTGAAGTATGTGGGCTTGAAGCTTGGAGTACCATTGACTGAGTTTTGCGTGTGATATTCAAGACTTGACAAAGTTAGACTTTCTGATGGGAAATCTTATCACTATTTTATTTTACCTTTACTGTACTTAAATTGTGCATTCATTAATACTGTCCAGATAAGTAGTGGGAGAATAAACACACAGAGGCCTGTGTTACATTTAAATCCAGAAATGAGAGAAAATGCAAATGTCATTACTGTAACTCGATTAGTAAAAAAAAAAACAACCACCTAATACTGCCTGGAATATTGATTGCCCCCGCTGTTTCAACAATTGCTTAGATTTTTTTGCAAGTTAACACTTTATCCTGTGCCACCAATTGAGTTGCAAAAAGCAAAGCAAAAAAAATTCCACTTCTATAACTGTCCTGGTTTATAATTATATTTACCTCTTGCATCTCAAATGAGCATTTCAGTAATTTGTATGGCTTCTTACATTGTTGCATACCTAAAAGAGATTAATATTTTGAAGGACACATCTGAAAACAAAATCATAATTATTGGTGTTTGCTAGGTATTGATTGTGACAAAATCTAATGAGATTTCCTTAATCTTGGGACAAAATCTTGATTACAAAGACTAACTGTGTTTGAATTGGGCCAAACTGAACACTGAAGATAGTTCTCCTCATATCTACCTCACAGATATGGACACAAGAAATGTATTACTTGAATTAAAATTGTTCCCCTTAACCATTTCTCTATTCCCTTTAAAAATAAAAATTTTGCAGAGATTACGTACCCAGAATCTCACTTGGGTGTACTGGAATATATTGAATGTAAATAATTAAAATTCTGTTTAGATTCATAACAGAAGGATAACTTATACGAGTCTGGGAAGCTTGAGGCAAAGATGTGGGTTATTCAAAGAACTCAGAGCCAATGATTAAGATGAACTATGGCTAAAATGAGCTTTCATGCCTACTAACCTCATTTCCTTGATAAATGAGAGATTATTATAGAATTACAATAAAATAATTTTAATAAATTCAGGTGCATAACCTTCTGAAACAATCAAGTTAATTCATGGAATCATCAGCTTCTCTCTACAGCCGTCTTCATGACAAAGCTGAGGTTTAGGTTCTGCATTGATGTTTGCAGTATGCCTAACTGAGGTAGGTCTGCACTTCTAATTCCAACTCAGCAGGTTTTTTTTTCACTCTAGTTTTATATGCACTCTGGTCTCATGCCAAGTGACCTGTAGGCTTGTCTGAATATGAATCAATGTATTTTTGTGCCAGACCTCTGTCATCCTTGTCACTTTATTTGTATTTATTGTGACTGGCTTTTACACACTGTAAATGGCACCAGTGGAGTTGACTGTGCTTTTTATATAGAAGGGTTGCTATAAAAATGACTAGGAGAAGATATGTGCCTAGGGAATGAATATTACTCATTCCCTGTGAAATGGAATGAGTGGATGGACATTGCATAATGCTGATAATGTCCATGTAAAATATATATCAAGGGAAGAAAGTGAGAAAGATGAAAAGTATTTTGAAAGGCAGAAGAGAATGAAGCTGCAGTTATACATTTACTTCAAAATGGCAGGAGCTAAGGAGTCTCACTTTTACTTCTCCCTGTTAGAAGATGCCATGTGTGTCACTCTGTGTTCTTCGCTTGTATTCCTCATGGGACCTAGCAGCCGGGGCTGGATTCACTCATTGAAATGTGTTTCCTACCACTTGGGTTGCAGTAGGGCATCCAGCTGCTTATGCAGTAAGATGTGAGTCTCACTCCGATTTCTTTTTGTTAATGTCAGCTGTGTGTGGATATCTTGGACATACTAGGGTGTCAAAGATACCAGTAAATGCCTATATTTAGGCACCTGAACTGAACTTCAAATTCCTCTTGAGTGTTTAATTTCATTGATATGTTATATTCATGTGTGTGCATTAGATATAATTTCTTATTGTATTGCAGATTTATAGTAGTTTGAAATTATGATTCCTTGCTATACTTCAACTCTGAGTTTGTGCTATGGTTTATTTCTTATTACAATGGCAAAAAAGGTAGCGTAACTCATATGTTTAAGCACTTTTTTGAGATTCCATCATTTCAATAGGAATAAGAAATCTTGAAGTTGTATTGTTATTTAATATTTATTTACTGTCATCTAATTACAAGAAGGGCATATGTATTTTTCTTCATCTTCATTCAAGAGCATACATTCTTACCTGTTATGCATGTATGTATGAAGCAGCATTTTTGGCATTACTGTCCTCAGATTCCAACTGGAGATTTAGCAGTTTGTGTGTACTTGTACCTGTATAATTTTTATCCCCAGATTTCAGTTTTTATTCATGTGCTGTAGTGAAATGTGTATTTGAGCAAGTAAAATATCTATATCTATGATTTTGCCATCTAGTCATGACAATTATTTCTCTAGAATTATAGATACATAGAATATTACAAGAGGTCATGAATCTTGAGATGATGAGAATTTTCATTGCAACCAAATTTATGTCCAGGGTCCAAGTCCTATGAATTCAGGCAGAGTGAAAGTGGTCTCTTTGGAAGAAAGTTGAAGGTTTTATAAGCTAGTTCTTCCAATGCGTAATCAATTAGGAAAGGGAAGGAAGGCTTTCTGACATCCTTCTTATGTAAGCATTTTTGTTGTTTTAAATGCTTGAGTAATATGTGAGACTAACAAACATTTAAATTAAATGTAGGCAGTGATAAGTTATAGCGTGTTGGCCAATTTGGGTTTTTTTGGTTGGTTTGTTTTGGTTTTATTCTATTTTCAGCACTGAGAAAACTAAGTTTGAACACAGTACAAAGAAGATAGCAATTAACTATTTTAATAGTTTTGATTCAACCTTGTTCCTGAGTGCTCTTCGGTTGGCAAACTGCAACATTGCATAACAGATTATTTTTAGGTCTGCAATCTGGACATGATCAAAAATTTCTCTTAAGAAGAAGAAAATTTCATTCACAAGTCTGGTATGTGATATTTGAAACGCAGGAGACTTAGCTTTTTGAATATCTTTAGCTATACAGTTCAGTCTCTCAAGCAGATTTATATGTAATTATTTTAGAGACCTGTAGGAAAGTGTTCATGTTCTACAATTATACTTTTTGATTTTTTTGTTTGTTTGTTCGGGGGGGGAGGTTGTTCAGATGTTGTTTTTATTTTATTTTTCCTTCGTTTGCTATGTAGGATGAGTATTAATTTTCAGTTTCAGTTTTAAATTCTTAAGAATTTAAGAATTTTATGTTCATCACCTGGTCTGTCTGCGGTATAGAAGAAAAATCAGTAAATCAGAAAAAAAAAAAATAAATAGATAACTGGAATATTAAACACTACTCTTAAATTGCCTTCTCAGCTCACAGAGAATACTACCTGGCAGTGTCAAGAGAACTGCTGGGGATTATTATTTTTTTTTTCTTCCTGGTGTTAGCCAACTTCACACTTTTCAAAGCCCAGTTTCTTGTGTTTCTGCTGTGGTACCTTTGTGTGCTTTGCGGGTCTCTAAGATTATTCTTAACTTTTTTCAGTAAATGCCATTGTTTAAAAAGCATTTGCAAAGAATAGTACAGGTACTTTTTGCTCAACATCCCTTCTAGTTACTGAAGGGGAACATGGCAAAGAGTGCTGTGGCAGACAGTAGTGTGTGTCTTCTGCACTGCTATGAGTTCACACGATGGCAGGTGCAATGATGGGAAACATCCCCTATATTTCTCATTTGATTTCAAATGAGAATCATCTGCTGATTTCAGGACAAGCAGATTACTGTGGTTAAGTAGTAAGCATTTGTCAGACTGCAGGGAGGGTCTTCAAGTACATTGTAATCATTTTGCTGTTCTCTTTTTTTCTTCAGTCTGTCGTCTTCGTAGTATCTGTGTTAAAGCTTAACATTAAAACTCTGTTGCATGCTCCATATATATATATTTGGAAAGTGAGGCAATGTCTGCATGAATAATTCAGCTATTATCCCTGTAAAAAAACTTTTTACCTGGCAAAGGACATGTTCATATGAAAACGTTAAGTCTGTAATTTCTCTAAATAAATCTCATAAGAGCAATGACTTTTTTCATTGCTTTTTTGGATTTCATTGCTAAGTGATAATAAACAACATACTTTTAGAGATAAAGAAGGCAAAGACATGCATGAGAATGCAATTAAATGGTTAACAGCAGTAGCTGGTAGTTCAAAGGAGACTACTTAAAAAGATAGAGACTGGTGGAAAAGCTGTGGTTCAAGGTCTTTGCTGAAATGAAGTCAAGAGTTGAAAAGACTTTTATTCCCCATTTTAGTGATAAATTAAATGTTATCGACCTTCTTTTTCAATTATTTCTATGGAAACACAGGAAGAATTGTTTGTTTAATTTAAATGAATAAAAAAAGTAGGAAAAAAAAAAAGGAAAAAGCAATTTAAAAACTAAAACCATTTTTCATATAGAGGCTGGTAGTTTGGCAAAATTCAGCCTGAAGTTTACTCTTGCCAGATATCCCCTGGAAATATAAGTGGGTTTGTTCCACTTGAGTAATCACATGTAAATGCAGAGGTGCCAGCAGCACTATAATAATGACTGTAGTGTCTTTGAAGACACTCTGAAGCTTCCTTTCAAAGGCACTCATAAATAATTAAATCTTTTTTTTTTCCTTCTATCAATTTACATGGAATATGTAATGACAACACCAAGTACCAGATTTCCTTCCCTTCTTTTCTTTCTCATGCAAAGAAGAAATATTTTAATTAAGACACTGCTTGCTAACCTGTATAGTAAAGAGGTAATGAAAGAGCAGGTGCATATAGTTCTTTATGGCAACCCTTTCTGAATACAGAAGTGACAGCTTCTAAAACCTAGGTACTTCTGAGGTGATCCCAGAAGTCTGGCTTCCCCTCTGCAAATAAAGGGAGGCAATTTTGTCTGCTTTGATATGTTCTCTGGCTCCTTGCAGTTCACTGTGACTATTTATGTGGTCCTCTTTGTAAGACTGGCTGCTCAGCTGGCTGTACATGGTTTTAATAATTTTTTAAATTATTTTTTGGCAGATACCGAGCGTCTCTATACAGTAGTGTTTGAAGAGATATGTGGCCGTTTTGGAAAGGCCTATACCTGGGATGTGAAATCCTTGGTCATGGGTAAAAAAGCCCTGGAAGGAGCAGAGATCATTCGAGATGTTCTAGACCTTCCCATAACCAAAGAAGAGTTATTACATGAAAGTAAAATGAAGCAGGAGAAGTTATTCCCTACAGCTGAATTGATGCCAGGTATGTTTCTCTTTAATATTTATAAACTATTTATAGAACACTTAAATGCTAATTAAGGTATCATTTTTTAGTCTACCTTCCAAAACACAGTTTATTTTAAAGAGTCAGTTTCATCATTCTTGTTTTAGTAAGTTGTACTCAAATCTACATCTTACTTACATGTTAGATATTTTACCTGTTAAAGATTACTGAAAACTTTTTCTCTTGTTTACTTGGAAAACAGTATTTTTCCTGTATGTTTTAAAAGAAGAAAAAAGGCTAGGTAAATGTTGATTAATTCTGTTTTGTAAACCAGACATTCTTTCTAGTTGTTGGAGCTGCATAACTTAGCGAGTTAGTTTTCTCTGGCTATGACTGTAGCCCAACTTTGTTAAGCACAAAACCACTTTTTAATGGGCAGCCAAATGTATGGGCTCTTTCATCTGCCATTCATCTTGCCTAACCTGAAAATTTATCAGGGTTTGGAACAGCACGAAAACACAGGAACAGCCCTGTGGCCGCTTACTCAACTTCCCCCCACACACACTCTGGGATGAGGAGAACAAAGCTCATGGGTTGAGACAAAGGACAAAGGAGAGTTCTTCACAGATTAAGGCCCCGGGCGAAACAGACTCAACTTGGGGAAAAAATAGTAATTTAATTTCATACTAATACAACACAGACAGGACACAGACAGCACAAAGAGCAGGGCTTGCATATGTTACCTCACCCCTCCCTTCTTCCCGGGCCCCAATCCCTTGGTTCCTGGTTTCTCTCCCTCCTTCCCCCCAGCGGCACAGGGGGACAGGGGATGGGGTTTAGAGTCACTTTACAGGCTGGGGGGTCTTGTCACACCATCCTCCTCAGGAAGAAGGATTCCTTACAGTCCTGCCCTGTTTCCCCACGGGGTCCCTCCCATGGCAGAGAGTCTTCAATGAACCTCTCCTTCCTGAGTTCTGCCCACAAGGTCCGGAGCTGCTCCAGCCTGGGCTTCCCACAGAGTCACGGGCTGCTTCAGGAACAGTCACCTCCCCTGGCGCTGGGGTCTTCCACAGCTGCATAATCTGAGTCTACTGGCCACAAAACCCAAGTCCACTCATCAAGTTCACCCCTCCTGGTGCCTTCAGGGCATGTTCCACCACATTCCTCCACGAGTGCAGGGGCACAGCTGCCATCTCGCCATGGGCTGCAGGGAAACTTCTGCTTGGGCACCTTCTTCCCCTTCTTCCTCATGAGCCCACAGCACTGCTACTTCCCCAGTACAGTTCTTTTTTTTTTTTTTTTTTTTTTTTTGAGTGCTCATGTGCTCAGGTTTTATCTCCGTTCTTTCCTATGTTAATCACTGAGGTGCATCTATTGTCCCTCTAATGGCTCCTTGGCTGGGTTTGGAACAGGGGGAGCTTCTCAGCTTCTTACAGGAGCCTGGGGCCTTTCCTCCAGTACCAAAAAACCCACCTAACCCACCTAACCAAAGCAGCACAACATTGAAACTTAAACATGGTGCCTGAGCCAGCTGTGTGTCAATGGAGTGGTAGGTTTTCTCAAATCATCCTGACACAGGTAAGTTTCATTCATGAAGATACATGTCTTATACCAGTGATGGTGCAGGAAGCCTGAATGAGTAGCTTATACAGGTGGTTTATACAAGGTACCTCAAAATAAGCAAAAAGATTAATCTTACCTGCAGTGTGAACTCGTATTTTTATATTCCATTCCATTTACATCTGAAAGAGAAAAATCCTCAGCCATGCAAGACAAGCAATACCTAATGATAGGATTGCTGTTAACTTTCTGTACAATTTTAAGCTTCCTCAAGCAAATATCAATAATTTATGAAGGAAAAAAAATAAAAAGTGTGAGGTAGGAGAGGAGTAAAAAATGTATGAGAAGTTAAATAACTGCCCGTCTCTGTAATATGTCTAAATGTTATTTTTTTTCTCTTTGAGTGTGTACTTGTTTGTTCTGATAATCTCTTCAGTGCCTTAATGATGCTTTAATTTTTAGATTTTTTTTATATCTAGTTTCATAATGCATTACAAGGATGAAAGTTAAAAATAAGTGATATGGTGTGGTATAAATAACAGGAGCAAAAATAAAAGGTGTGATTTGATATATTTTTTTAGGCAGCTTAAAACCTTGAATACCCTGTGCAGCCAATTTATTTAGCTATCTCTCTGATGTCTTTTATATGCAGGATATTTCAAATTGTATCTTTTTCACTTATAGAACCACCTGAACTGTAAGACTCAATAAAACGTCCAGGAATACAAGCAAGATGGATGTGTTCTTAATTTTTCGTGTCAAAATTCTGGGACTAACTTTTCAGCTATATCTTTTGCAAGGCAAAGAAATACCTGGTCTGGGCTTAGAAAATACCAGATGGACAGACTGGATGAAATGCTAGGAGGCACAAAGAAGAGCACAAGTTATAGATGGATAGAAGTGGATATCATAAGTGGATATTCTGTGCCTGCTGAGGGTTGTGATAATGTGGCTAAGCTGGATTGAACATAGTTGCAGAGAGGTGATGGAACAGATTAGCTGAAGGAAGCATGAAGTTTTGCAGTGTTCCTGCCTTCAAAAAAATGAATTCTGGGCTCACTGACGCTGGGCTATTATATATGAAGCAAGCAAAATTCTTATTGGGACAAGAAAGTAAACATTTTTCACATCTCCAAAATTGTTCAGTTTACTATCTTTTCAGTTCAACTAAATGCATGTGATAACTTGCTTCAGGCTATTTTCTAAAGCAGAATTGATGTGAACTTAAATACTTCATGCTCACCTGCTGTTGCGGGGAGTAAAGGCAGCCTTGCTCACTGAAGTAATGGGATCTGTGCTTTACTTGGTAGGAACATATGAGATACAAGATGAATTGCTATTTTGAGAAAACTAGGTTGGTGTTAGCTAAGAATCTAGAAAGAAGTGGCTCCAGCTGCTTACTATTAAGTTTCTGTAAGGATTGACCTGTTTTTCAATCTGATAATCAGCTTTTTTAATCTGATACTTTTCTTCTGTCCTTTTGTATTTTCTGAGGACATCTATTAATCTAATCCTTGGGTATTTATTCTGCAGCCTCTCTAATAAGACTGTGGTGACACTTTGAATTTAGTGTTCTTTGACTAAACTGATCCTTCAGGTAGTTACGGATAAATGCAGGAAAGCAGAAGTTAATTTTCATATTTATTAATGGTATAAGGTAAGTCTGGTGTGCTGAGTTTCTGGCTAATTTTTGACAGTTAATATGCAGATGAAGTTCTTTTTCAGTCAATTTCTACAGTTTTTTCCAAAAAATAAGATTGAAATTTGGTTTGATGGAGAGCAGTGCTGAATGATGAGCAACAATGTTTGAAAAAGAGACTCAAGCAAAGCAGCGCCTGTTTCTGGACATAAAATGAGCTATGCACATGTTTTTGCCAGAAATGATAACTCTTAATTCCAAAATCAAGTAATTGACAAAAGTGTTAGTTGACAAGTATGTTAGTGATGTTTAAGGGTGGTATGGAAGTTGTATGAATATCCAGTTGGCAAAGCAGGACTCTGCCTGACAGGCTGTGTCACAGCCATGGAGAACGGTTGAAGATGGAATTTTGACTATTTTGGTATGGTTGACAAGTTTCAATACATCAGGCTGTGGTCAAAATACGGATTTCCTCTATGAATAGGATATATAAATTTGTAACATGGAATTTTACAGTAACTATTTCAGAGTTAATCCAAGACAACTGACAAAATGACAGGGCTGCCACTTGTACTACTTTTCTAAATATTGCTGTCAAGAGTACAGATATTGTTACCTGCAAAAGTAACATAGGCTTTCTGCTTCTGCAAATGTAGCACCACATGGCAAGAAATGGATCATCAGAAGATTGTCTTCAGAAGATTGTCTTCTAAGTTGGACAGCTGCTAGTAGTTACTATAATCATGTCAGGGGGTTTAAATTAATTCCATACTTTCATAGCAGTCTCTGTTTTCTGGCTTCTCATAATCACAAAGTACAGATCCTTAAGGATTGTGTGTTTGTGTAAACCTTTCAGACATTTTCCATTGCTGGGTTGTTCTCAGGATAACTAGGTTTTCTTTGTTGTAGCTCCCATTCAGCCAGTGCAGAATGTAATGTGCAAGCTATATTCTATGTCAAGTACCATTGACTGTCTCTTGCAGACCTGAGGAAGTAATTTCATAGCTCATTTTTCATGCCAAGTGAAGCCAGTTGGAAATCACAAAAAGAGAAGAAAGAAAAGCAGATCAAGTTCCAATGGCAAAGCCCTTTGAAGTCATATATACCTTTTCTTAAGCAGTTCCATTCAGTTACCAGTCTGGTTTGCTTAGTTACTGTTTCCTTGATTCATGTTGAGACTGTAACATGTTAAAAGATGTCGTACCATGTTATCTCTTCTTTTCCTTGCTGTTACTGTTTTTATGGTAGGAAATTATAGTGAGACCATGCTAGGCTCAGTGAGCCTGTAACCCCTGTGGATCAGTCAGTTAGCTGCAAACTCTGAATGATGCTGTCTGTTTGCCTAATTTCAAACATTTGACCTTTTTAATAAGTTCTAAAAGATTACAACCCAAAAATGCTTTTATCAGGCAGTCAACAACACAGTTGACAGGTTCTGAATTGTGTAAAATTTAGTACTTGTGTTTCTTCCATAGCCATGCTTGTGTCAGTATGTCCAGATTAAAATGAGATCATCAATTTGGTGAACAGGGAGTCTCTGCCACCAGAAGGATCTCTGACACTTTTTAGAGAGCAATTAGATGAGAAGATGGAATTCTTTATTTTTAATAGCCAATTACCTTCCAAGGTTTGGAGTAGGCTGCTAGTTTCCACCTCCACTTTTGTAGCTCAGTGAAAAGATAACATACCATTTGTATAACATAACATTTGTAAACAATGTCTCAGACCAAAAAAAACCCAAACAGATGGGTCTGAGAATTACATTTTCATAGTTTGGAACAATTCAGGAATAGAATAGAATAGAATAGAATAGAGGAATATTTTTATTGGAAAAGACCTG